CCTATCCCCTGTAGTGCCTTGCCTACCCACGAACTATAAATGAAGATGTTAAATAAAATTAAGGTCCAGTCATAATACTCACACAGAATTGAAGAGATAAGCTCGACCCTGACTTCCTTGGAATGACTAAAAAAGAAAAATAAAGTTCAAATGAAGACTTCACATATTCACAGTTTTCTGTCACAGAAACTGAAATTATTAATAAAAGCTTATGTAAAAAAATAATTTAATGTATTATAGGAAATAACATTTAATTTTGCTAAAAAGCTATCACTGTTGCTTATTTCATCATTCCAAAACTAATTTAGAATGTAGCTGTAATAAGTTATATTTGGAGAAACTTTTTGCAATTTTAAATGAAGTGTTTTGCATGTAATAATGACATTCTTGTAAACCAAATGTCCAAAGGTCATCAACATGTACTGATCATTTTGCTTTGGTAGAGGTTATATACATTAATAACTGTCTCATAGAAACTTTTACCAGTTTAGTCTTGTGTCTATGTCCATACCCTGGGATGTGGTAAGCCTATCTCAATGGGTGACTTGTATAAGTAAGTATGTCATTTGGAACCGTCTGGATTATGGAATACTGTTGGACTAGCCTCTTTACATCAGCATCCAGTGTAATCAAAACAGGAAAGTTTGAAGCTGACTAGATGTATATTGAATAATGCCTTATAATGTTATATTTGTTCACTGGTGTTTTCTAGAGTCTGCTTCTTTTTTTTTTTTTTTGTAGAAACACTCGGTTACCTGTTGGTTATTAGTGTACCTGAATACCACAAAACAATTATGTAAATGATAACTTGAAACCACCTTTCATAAACACTTGTTTGGTACTTAACTCTATAATGTCTGGAAAATTACAATTTAAGTACAATATCTATATTTTGATTTAATATTGAAATGGAAATTGTTAAACTTCAAAAAATGTTCAAAAACTGAATGTCCATTTTTTTTTAATATGTTTAATATAAAATGAGTTAGTATAAATTTAGACAAGTTTTAAAGTTTTCAAATATATGTACTAGGGATGCTAGGGTAGTAAAATTTATCTGAATACTAAGCTTTGGCCAGAACTGGGAGTCAACTGGGACCAGGTTCCCCCTTGCCCCCCCAAGAAAAACAAAAACAAACAATATACACAAAAATAGAAACAATACATTTAATACATTTAACCAAACAATCACCAACAGAACAACTTTCAATGCCTAGCCCCAACTTTTCAAACCCTAACCCCTACTTGTTCTCAAAATCCCCATCTTCCCCAGAAATCCACTTCTAACCATGCCTGTTATTAATCCCTATTGTTCTCTGAATCCCGAATTTCAGCAGGCAGTTAGTTTTTGTTGATCAGAACATGTTTTATTAACTAAACCAATTATTGACTAACTTTCAGTACTGCATTAGTTGCCACAAAGATTAGGGCTTAGATACCTAGCTTCGACACTCGGCCGGGGCCCGAATATCTGTCCAGGTACCCATGCATCCCTAATATGTACACTAGAATGTGTTATGAACAATATATAAAAAATTTAAAACAAGTTACATTTTTAAACCAAGAAAAACCAAACTTTCTGAATTGCTGTTTTAAGAAGGTACAGCCAACAATTTTGAAAGAAATGCTAATGTATACTGTAGTAAGTGATAGTTATATTCAGGTTATAATAGCTTTCACTGGAAATGGATTAAAATCCCACTAAATTATATCATGAGTCAACTGCTTAATGTAAACAATGGAACAGGCCTGAAAATCTATGTCAATATATAATTTTGACAAAGCCAATTTTATTACAGCCACATAAATGTTAGTACATGTACTTAAAATTTTATGCACATAGCTTTATTATCAATGTGTAAGTTATATACATGTACAAATAAACAGCTAAACAACCTGTGGGTAAGGTATGGGTACAGTAGGCCCAAGTTTTGAAAATTCTATAAAATATTTTGATAATCATTGCTTTGTAAACAATTTAACATTTTGCACAAATTTTTATGTCTTCAGTGTTTGAAGTGTATGTGCATGTTTCATGAAGTAGTATATGTATGTTTTACATGCAAAATTTAATTTCAAAATTTATAGTCATCTCTTAAAAGGAATTTTAATTATTATTTCACAATATCTTAAGTTCTACTCAAGTTTATTGATCTTGTTCGTGAACATATTGTATTACTTTATTTATTTGAAGATAAATCTAAAATAAGATTAACCAGCACACATACATACAAAGTCTTATCATAAATTTATAATTAGTAGTAGTAATAATAATAATCTAGACACTATTTAGTCAGTTCTAAAAGTTAAAACTACTTTTGTTACTGGACTAGAACAACTGATAAACATTAGTAAGCTAACTTCAAACCTTTGAGATCAACTCATCATGGTTGGCTAAGTGGGCCCTGCAATGGATACAGCTGTACGTACGATGACAGTTGGATAAATAAGCTTGGAAAGTTTTCACCATGATCTGCTTGTTTACTAGAAATACATCTAAACCATTTGACTGGTCACCAAACTTCTAACTTCAAGCTTATATTTTCATTGTTTTACAGGAAAAATGTACAGTGTACTATAACATGTTCTTTCCAAAAGCACACACACACATATTCCTTTTTCATACGAATGCAGTATTGCTAGACCTATAAATGCAACAAAAGAAAGTTATCAATGCATTATACATATATTCAAAATCAGAATAATTGTATCTAATTCATCACAAGTTCAGCTGCAGTTTTTAATTACACATATGACACAAATGCTGAGACTAAATTTTAATCTTTTAACTTTTGAGAATAGTACTGTAAGATGTAATGATTAAGTTTAAAATTGTGTAAATACTTGAATGATATACATTCAGTCCCTGTATGTTAATATGATGTCTATGTCCGAGTAAGATCATGTCTATCATGTTCTTTATGTCTAAACTGTATAAGATGCCTCATCATGCTCATTGAAACTTTACAGAAAAATTCAGTTATGAATTAAATAATGTGGATACTTTTAAGTTATTATTTGTTGTTGTCATACTATGAACCAAGTCCTTTGTCATTTCTTTGTAAGCCAACTGGTTAAACAAAATTTACACTTTAGAAATTGTAATGATATTGGAGACATTAGATTTAAACAAATTTCCAACAAAATAATATTTCAGATGACATTGATAACACACAATTTAAAAATGTAATAAAATATCTTTAAAGTTATATTATGAAATGCCAATTGGAGTAACTTGAGACATTTTGTATGATGAAGAAGCAACAAAACACTAGAACAAGTTTATAAATATTTCACTCAGTATAATGTGTTAGTCACAGTGAGTATAGCAGTGTAAGTAACCTTTTAATATTAAGGAAAAGGAATTATGTAATGAGGAGATTTTACATTATATTAATCACCTTTTGAAATATATTTTGTTTATGGTATATGAAAAAAAAAAGTAGGATTGAGATTGCACAGAGTAAAGTTGCATATACATGTATCTCATCAATAACACAAAGTAAAAAAAATATGCAGAAATAACTAACTCAAAATAGACAAACAAACAAACACTTTAAGAAATATAGGAAAGTTAAAAAACTTCCGAAATTCTTATCAGTTTGTCTTTGGCCTTTTTCTGAAGGGGAAAAAAAAACACTTGTCAGCCAGTCAGTCATTGGGTTTGTAATATATCATATGATTATTGTGTGTTTTACAAACTAAATTTGAAATCAATTTCAATGTAATATTTGTGTGTGTATTATATTGATTTACAATAGCATCAATATTTCAAGATTGGCAAATAATACAAATTTGTTAAATATTACACATTAAACCTACATGTAATCCCATTTAATAAACACATTATGGCATATTTGAAATATTCCATTATGTTTTACTGAGCTTTCTGAAATTAGATTAAACTAACAACAAATAAGGAAGTTCTGATTCCATTGCATGGTAAATGTATACAACCCCCCCCCCCAAAAGAAATTTACATATACTACATGTTATGAGCTTATCTTTAAAAGGGCTTTTGTTAATCCCTTAACCAGTAGTTTTTTTTAACACTAGTTACAGACTTTCTGGACTTGCTGTTTAAAGTTGTCCTAGTGAATCTATTTATAATTTTTTTTCTTTTTTTTTATTTACCTCTGATTATTATATTGTAAAAATTTTGCTCAATGTGTTTAAAAACTTGCTTGTTGTCCAGGAAAATAAAGCTGCAGAACCAGCTTGCTTTAAAACCTGTTCACAGCTTGCCATTTCAGTTCCCTGACACAGATAAAGTTTTGGGTTCAAAATAGCCTTAGATAATAATCTGAAATCAAATGATATAAATGTATGTAAACTTTTTCAATTAAGAAAAAAAAAAGACTAACTCTGTTTTAAAATATTAAAATAATTTAATCTATTAGCTAAATCTTGAAAATTTGTCAGCATGGTGGTTTGAATGTTATGTGTACTTTTTTCAAAAGAAAAATGATTATTTAATGTGAATAAAACAGTAAAAATGACTAAAGAATGAGCAAAGAATAAAAAAATGAACAGCTAGTTTCAATTGCCCAAGTTTTTATTCTCAAAGGGTGTAGTAAAACTATTTTACTCTGTCCCTTTAGGGTGACAATTAGGCATGTCAAAACTACATGGGTTGTGTTTTGTTAATTCTTTAATCATTTATGTATTATACTGGTATGCTATTACAATTTTTTTAAATGAAATTACAGAAAGTACTTCTTTAAATAATGAATAAATCTGTAAATGCAAGGGATACACATTGTCATGTGACTTACCATTAAAATAACTCACTACACCAAAGAAGAAACATTTAGAAGAGTTTGTTTGTTTTATGCTACAGGTAACCTAAAATGAACAAGAAGATATGTAAGAAGGCTAATGTAACGTCAGAAAGCCAAACTACTCCTGATCACATAATGGTTTTTGCCTCATTGAAATAATTTTGTTTATGTGCAATGTCCTAACTATGATGCCATGACAATAAAATGCTGAAGTATAACTTTTACACACTAAATTGTTATTGCAGCATAACTTGCACTTAGTCAATACTTACTACAGCAAAAAGTAAGATTTAGGACCTAAGTGAAAGATGGTAAAAGGAACAAGAGACTAATGGAGCAAAGAGAGGAAGGGTAAGGGCATGGAGAATATTATTCAGGTCCAAATCAAGAAGGACTGCAAGGTGAGAACAAAAGTGGCAAAATAAAAAAAATAAAAAAGCATAGAAAAGACAGGAGAGGAAAATGCATGACAATAAGAAAACTGGAAAGTATTATGTAGAGCTACTCAGTAACCAGGCCTGGTTGAAAGTGATAAGCCTAGTTTAAACAGCAAACAATAAAAAAAATGTGGAAAACATGAGGGATAGAAGGAAGGAAATATGACAAACTATGGAATGTGTACCCTTGTCATGGATAGACAAGGAGGGAGAAAGAACAAAGTGAACAAGGAAGGCTACATGTAACAAGAATCTGGAACGTATCGTATGTGACCAGACAAAACCTACACATGGGGTGACCACACTGCTGGATGAGATAGAAAGGAGTGACGTTGAAGGAGTAGGGAGAGTAACAGAAGTAGGTGCAATAGAGGAAACCATGGCTGAGCCGTCCAGTAAGGAATTATCAGTAGAACTGAATATGGAGTGAGGGAGAAAATGAGTAGGAAGGTAGGCATGGAAAAAAGTTGGACCAGTCCTGATGAAATGCATCCCTAGGTAAAGCTGAGGGAAGAAATATGAGGGGGGGGAGGACCATAAAATGAGAAGTAGGGTGTTGAGAAGTGTCCAAATGAAAGCACGGCAACTTGAACACCAGAGGAATGAGGGAGGGACTAATCCATAGGTAGTATCTTGGAAGTCTTTAAGAGACTATCCAAGACAAGATTCAGGGCACCCAGAACAGAACAAGTTATTAGACATACTAGTATAGAATGGGCCCAGGAAAGGAGGGTGTCAGTGTGGAAACAGAGAGAGCGAGGCAAGTGTTCCTCTAGTGATTGATAAAGGAGTCAACCGCAGAGTTCACTGTATGTATCATCAATAGACATCTACAGGTCACCCTTAACAACAAAAGAATAAAGAGGGGGGTCTAAGAGATGGATTTGAAGGAATAATGTTGTGGAATTAATGACCCAAATTCACATGAGAGTCAAGACAACACCCCCACCCCAAATATTATCTGTAAACAGAAGGAGATCCAGATGAGATTAGGAGGAATACTCACTGGGGGTGTAGTTGTATTAAGTCAACAAGAGAAGTCTTTGAGTAAGGAAGGAGAACAGTTTAGAACAAGGCCCCAAGCAAGAATCCAGAGAATGTGCAGTCCAGTGTAGACATCACAAATGAGCATGACTCAAGGGGATTTCATGGAAGCCCAAGTTTCCAAAGAGAGAGAGTGGAAGAAGAGAACCTAGTGCACAGTGAGGAAAGAAGATATGGAATGGGAAACAATTGCACCATGTCCCTCAAGAGAAAAGTAAAAGGCTGAGCCCTACAGACATCCAAGTGAAAAAATTAATGAGAAATGAAATGGATATGAGATGCAACTACAAATAAACAAACCAGAGCCTAATGAGAACAGAATCATCTGAAGTGTCCACCTCAGTCATACCAAAACCTGATGCAAAAGACAACCATAAGGTGAGATATTCCCTGTAGGAAAGTGAAGAAAAACAGGAACCTGACTGAGACATGAAAGATGCAAGACTCAACACTTATCAACAAAATTGGTGAGAACTACAAAAAGAGGGGAAGCAAAATCTGGAAAAGGAATGAGAAACCCATCCAATAGTGATTTTGTAGCCATTAGGACCAACACCGCCATGGACCAATGTTGGCAAGAAACAAGATTCCTTGGAGGATGTAAAATAATGAAAACAGGAGAAACTGAAGGAGACAAAAAAAAAGGAAGGTTAAGCCTTTGATAGAAATCCCAGTACTCAACAAAGATCAATAAACCAAACAAAACAGGCCCTACCAGCCCTGAGCCTATAGGGCAGTCAAAAATAAAATAAAGCTATGTGAACGGAGGTAAGGTATTGTTGCGTATGTGTTTGTTTGTTAATTTCCTGTAGAAATTCTTTCCAAGAAACTTCAGCGACACAAGTCCTTTCATAATTAAAACTAGTTTATTCTTTCTCGATACAACTTTGCAATACACAAAGTTTCCACAGTCACTTTAAACTTGACTACTTTTATGAACACACGCTATAAATCACAGTGATTCACACACTCTACTTACGGCTTGACTCGATTATCTCTATCTTCAATCCCTCTATCTATCTATCTCATTCTGCTTTATTTGCCAGGCTTATATACTAAAAAAGAAGGCTCCTGGAACAGACTAGAGTTGCCAGGATTATTCAAGATCCTTCGAAAATCTCATGATATGTCACCAGCGTCATGTGACTTCTGCTGTCATAACAGTATTATATCATTGTATATTAGATTTTATAAAGTGTTTACAATTCTTTTTTAAGTTTATTATTCTGTTATAAAGAACAGTGATGCTATGAAATTTCAGTCACAGGGGTGAAGCAAAGTTTAAGAAAAATAAAGAAAATCAAAAGTTGGAAATAATGGTTTTTAGTTAATATTTATAACATCTGTTAACTTCTAAATTCACTTGATTGGGTTTTGTCCAAA